GTCATTCTCTTTTGCAAAATAGATGAAGTGTATCAGCTAAAAGCTAGCATTCCTAGACGTTTTAAAAGTCACATTGAAAACCAATACATAACTGTCCGATTGCCTTCAATTTTTAACCATCCCTTGGAATGCTATTGACAATCTGATAGTCAGCTGACAACCGGTCTTTCTAATTTTCGCTTAATTAAGAAGATATTTATCAAGTGGTCGCTCACAATAGGATAAAACAATACACAATTTTTCATATGGCATCTCAAAAAGCTCTAACGAGAGATTCCGACTGAACGGACTTTATTTTAAAACTTCTGGTATTTTTATTTGAAAAGTAATCGCTTACGCGAGTTACAGTACCTAGGAGGGTGTAGACTCTAGCTTGAGATCTGGGAAGTGCTTCTGATTGGTCGTGCCACGTGGGAAATTTGCTTTAACCAATCAGAAGCACTACGCAGATCTGGATAGTGACACGTCATCAGTATGGAATTTCTGCGCTCATTTTTCAGACGTCATTTCGCGGGAAAACGAGATACGTGAAAACGAGATATGTGGCTTCGTGAAATGACGGCTGTTTTCTCAAGCTAGGTAGACTCTTACGTGGGAAAGGGATAGGAAAGAGGAAGGTTTGACAGCATTTATCTCGTTTAACATCATTTCAGCTAAAAGTATTCTTTTTGGACGTTATAAAGTAAGGTTACATTGAGGCTGTCCACATGTATCCGGATATTTCTAAAAACGGATATTTTTTTCCTCCCTCTCAGTTGCGAAATATACGCGACCACAGGTAGCGTATTGGAATCATTTTCGTCCGTCAACACAAAACGCAAAAAACGATGGAAAAATGATAGAGTAGTCAGGGGTAATAGTATGTAAATGATCCATGAATCGTATACTGGTGCCAAAACCTCCGTTTACGTCCGGCCACAAGTACACGAAAAGCCGATGTTTTCAAAAATCTCCACTCTGAAGCTCGTTATGGTGACCGTTTTTACCGGACACTTGTTACAATAGGCAAAACAGGAGGAAAAAATTTCCGTTTTCAGGCGAAAAGGTAACGTGCGGGCGGAACCTGAGTGCCAAGTCATAACTCTCCGGTGGCAATTTAATAATCTTCGCTGACAGCTAGTTGTTCTAATTTTCGTTTAAGAAGGTCGCTCACGATAGGGTTAAACCCCACAATTTTCATCTAGCAACTCTAAAATAAAAGCTCTAACTAAGAGGTTTCGGCTAAAGTGTTTATTTCATAAACTATCAGTTTATTGGCAGGTGNCAATTTTTAACCATCCCTTGGAATGCTATTGACAATCTGATAGTCAGCTGACAACCGGTCTTTCTAATTTTCGCTTAATTAAGAAGATATTTATCAAGTGGTCGCTCACAATAGGATAAAACAATACACAATTTTTCATATGGCATCTCAAAAAGCTCTAACGAGAGATTCCGACTGAACGGACTTTATTTTAAAACTTCTGGTATTTTTATTTGAAAAGTAATCGCTTACGCGAGTTACAGTACCTAGGAGGGTGTAGACTCTAGCTTGAGATCTGGGAAGTGCTTCTGATTGGTCGTGCCACGTGGGAAATTTGCTTTAACCAATCAGAAGCACTATGCAGATCTGGATAGTGACACGTCATCAGTATGGAATTTCTGCGCTCATTTCTCAGACGTCATTTCGCGGGAAAACCAGTTGTGGCTTCGTGAAATGACGGCTGTTTTCTCAGGCTAGGTAGACTCTTACGTGGGAAAGGGATAGGAAAGAGGAAGGTTTGACAGCATTTATCCCGTTTAACATCATTTCAGCTAAAATTATTCTTTTTGGACGTTATAAAGTAAGGTTACATTGAGGCTGTCCACATGTATCCGGATATTTCTAAAAACGGATATTTTTTTCCTCCCTCTCAGTTGCGAAATATACGCGACCACAGGTACCGTATTGGAATCATTTTCGTCCGTCAACACAAAACGCAAAAAACGAAGGAAATATGATAGAGTAGTCAGGGGTAATAGTATGTAAATGATCCATGAATCGTATACTGGTACCAAAACCTCCGTTTACGTCCGGCCACAAGTACACGAAAAGCCGATGTTTTCAAAAGTCTCCACTCTGAAGCTCGTTATGGTGACCGTTTTTACCGGACACTTGTTACAATAGGCAAAACAGGAGGAAAAAATTTCCGTTTTCAGGCGAAAAGGTAACGTGCGGGCGGAACCTGAGTGCCAAGTCATAACTGTCCGGTGGCAATTTAATAATCTTCGCTGACAGCTAGTTGTTCTAATTTTCGTTTAAGAAGGTCGCTCACGTTAGGGTTAAACCCCACAATTTTCATCTAGCAACTCTAAAATAAAAGCTCTAACAAGAGGTTTCGGCTAAAGTGTTGATTTCATAAACTATCAGTTTATTGGCAGGTGGTGCCTTACGCGAGTTATGAGGGTAGAGGCTTACGCGGGATCGAGAGGTGATTGGAAAGGAAGAAGGTTCGACAGTATTTGACTCGTTGACAACATTTTCAATAGCTCGATGGCGTCCTTTTTAAAGGTTTTTTCGTCAATTACGTAAATTATTTTTAGCATAGATTGACACTATTTTCATTTATAGTCCTCATGAGTAGTTATGAGTACCTGTCATTAATTGTTTCAATTAAATTAAAAAAAGTAGCTTTTTAAAAGTAGCTCTTCTTAGTTTATTTCAGGTACAGTTTCTATATAGTACACAATTTTCTTTGGTAACTTTTCTCTTTCAAATTTAAGATCCGACGACGGCGACGCCGCAACGAGAAACGCAAAAAAGGAAAAAGGTTCAATAAGCAACAAACCAAATTTGCATTGAAACACACCTTTTTTGTAAATTTCTTTGCCGCTGCGCCATTGCTCGACAACGGTGTGAAACTTCCTAATTTCATGTTTCATGGAAGATGTTAAGTTAGCGTTGTCATCGAGTTTAGTGATTCGTATTTTACAGTGGAGCCTGTAACGAATCGAACCGAAAAAGCTTTTAACTTGATTTCACGCTAACCAGAACGCTATAGACTTACGGACATATTACCCAGGTTCTAAACCAATGAGAAAGCTCTTTTTTATCCTGAATGTTCCGTTTTGCTCTGAGTTAACCTCCTACTAAGTAAACTCTCGTGTTATCTCATATCATCCGAATTTAAACTGACTAATGTCGAAAATGCCTAAAAGTAAAAGTTACAGATTTCTTCTCGGGTTTTCAAATGGGGTTTACATCTTGATCCTCCGGGCTACCGACCGTGTAGCAGGGAGGCTTTGCTACATCAGACTTATAACTGAAGAAGGTTAACAGTGCGTAAGTTCGTTATGAGGATATTATAGCACTTTATCTATATTCGTCTATTGATCTAATCATTTTATCATAGTCTCAGGATTCTCACGTCTAAGCCAAAATGGGATGAGCTTCGTGGAGAACCTATGATGTTCATCGCCAAGTCGACGCCTTTTGCAGTACTGAAGAAGAACCCCCCCCGTTACGTCAACAGCCCCCAAAATAGACGTTCAGTCCTTTTTTCCGCCCGTTTACACTTTCCCTCGCCCCCACCATCTGTTCCTGGGTCTCCGAGGATGGTCTTTAAACAAAAACTAACTCTTCACAGGAGCTCCTGCTCCTGGTAATTTTTGGCAAAAGCGAAGCGGGTAGAAGGTGGGGTCTAGGAAGGTAGCGATACCCGTGAAGGACTCGGGGATCACCGGCCCTCGCGCAATCGCATGTGATCATGCCCGCTTTTTTCTCTTTAGGCCTCTTTCCCCTCTTGTATTTCTACTTACTCCAGTGTTTTAACCTCGTATCCCTTTAAGTTTTGTTTCATTTTCTACCCTGTCCTTAATTAGCTGCACGCTTGTAAAAAAAAAATAATAAAAAAAATAACGTAAAACTGGTCACAACTAAGCCCTCGCTCGTGCTCGATTGTACTGTTTATTACTAGCTTTTCCAATACATGTCTTTCACAGAAACATCTCTGACATAGCTATGTTTTCCTCAGGCTGCTTTAATTGTCTCCCTCGACGGTCACGTGTAAATGGTCGCACAATACATTCGACCACAATTTTCTATGGTCTACGCTCTTACAGATCATAGAAATGACGTCATAAAATGTTCAAAACTTAAGAAAAACCACGAGCTGCCGCAGGCGAGTGTTTTCACCGCAAAATTTGAACCATTTTTTGGCGTCATTTCTATGGTCTATAAGAGTGTAGATCATGGAAAATTGTGTCCGATTTTTTTTTGACGAAAAACCAAAAACAAAACAACCTGCTCTGTGTGACATGTTACGTCATGTCCATGGTCTATTTAAGCAATAGACCGGCAGACTGGTAAGCTGATCTGTCCTTGGCAGCTGATCTGTCCTTGCTTGGTATCTTGCTCGGACAGATAAACTGCTTAAGACTGGCAGCTGATCTATCCGAGCAAGATACCAAGCAAGGACAGATCAGCTGCCAGTCTTAAGCAGTTTAAGACCCGGATACGCAGTCTTGATTTAAGTAACATTTTAGATGGATGTAGTGGCTGCTACCTTTGCAATTCGTAATTTTAGCTTTTCTTAATTACGATTTTAATTACAAGATTTTGGAATTTTCATAAGTATAAATGGAGTTTTTGTAGTATGTATGTTCGTGAGTTATCATTAGTAGCTTTAATTCTAACTCTTAGTAGATTCTAGTTTCGACTCTATGATTCGTTTTGTATTTTTAGATTGTATTTTAGAAAGTTAGGTGTCCCCTATTAGCAGCGGGGAATCCCCTCTGCTAGATTTTTGTTTGATACGTTAATAAAGTCATTATTATTATTATTATTATTATAGACCACGTACACTTTCTATGAGTTTACCGGCACAATAAACCATAGTTTATTAACCAATCAGAACGCGCGTAATATCTTAGTTTATTTATAAACTCTTATAGACCATAGCTCTCGACCAATCAGCGCGCGAGGATTCTATCAGTTGTTGTAAAATACTCAAGAGCCCGAAAGTGTAAACAGTGACTGTGTTCCTCGTCATGAGACTTGTAATGAATTCAGAAATCGGTTATGCGTTACATACCACGCACGATTTAGTCACCGGTATGGACAGATTCAACGTTTTGCGACAGTTCACTGAAATGTAAGGAGACACGCAAGATATCATCTTTTGAAGAAGGGAGGAACTCTTTTATTGTCGGCTTGTTAATGGATAAGTAAGGTAGGGGACTAATGAAGGCGATTTTTTCAGACGGCATTTACAAGACAATTCCTTGTCATCTCTGCAATCAACCAGTTGTCAAATATCACTGAAAACTTTATTTGAACTCATGGATGCCTTGGGAGTAATCTCATTTGTAAACAAACCTTTGAAATTGCATGTCACATAAGGTGAAAGATCCAAAATGAGCGTGTGGATTTCAAAATGCAAATTTCATTCAGGAAGTGCCGTGATGCATAACAAGATTTGTAATTCAAAGAACTGTGCTAATTGTGGTAACACGTTTCATCTAACTTGTTTTGAGACAAACAAAAGGTTAACAGTCTTTCATTTAGTATTCACTCAGTTAACTTGGTATAATCACGACATTCAGTTTTCGTTATCACAAGTTCATCGCTTTTTCGTCGTTTTGTTTACAGCACAAAAGTCCTGCATCTTCAACCATGACTTACGAAGTCCTTACTATTGTAGCTTTAGCCCTGTCAGGAGTGGTGGGCGTCTGTCAAGTGTTCATCTTTATTTCCGTCTTCCATTTTTCTGTCAAACTGAGACGAATACAGCAAGCAGTTGATCATCTTGCTAAGATGAAAATCGTAGAGAGAAACAAAGTGGAATCTTTGATGCGGCTACCTCCGACACCCCGGCCAGGAGAAACCGTCACTATGCTTTGCCGCGAACCACATCCTGAGTTACCAGAACAGTTCGTTATCACTGAAGGTACATCTCGACTATCGGAACCAAGACATTTTAATATTACATTGATAGATCAACAGAAGAACGAAGGATTTGAAAACAGTGAATGATCAGTGATTCTAAGAACTTCCCTCTCAACTTTGCGAAACAGAGGACATGATTTTATTTTACCTGCTGCTAAAACAGAACGCTTTAAGAGATCTTTTATTAATAGGTGTCTTTTTAATTGTTTACTCCATACGTATGTTGGGACTACTCAACTATGAATAAAGACGCTTATTTATTATTATTTATTTAACTTGCATTATTCTGAGGGTCTCCAATATGTATGCATGTATGTATGTATGTAGGTTTCTTCAATCCCGTAATCCCGAGGCCTTTGAGCATTCTAACTCGCGCCATACTTTCAATCCCAAATCTCACCGAATCTTATTTTAAAGCCCGAATCCCGAGCTTGAAATGAGGGAAATCCCGGACCCGGAAAACTTATTGGGGACCCTCTATTTTGAGAGTTGGAACTTCGCATGTCTTGATTTTTTTGGTTGGCAAGGTAAAGTTAATCGATCTTGAAATTGAAGAAAGCCTCTGGCTAGTTTTGATTTGAGAAAGTGGAAACAACTGAAGAAGTTAAAAATTAGGACCTGTATCGATGAAGGATTTGTTTAGGATGGATAAATCTGAACATGGATTCATGCAAACCGGCTTGAATTAGACCGAAATTTGCCAAGATCTAGAAACCGCGACGTTTATACTGGAAGTACTGAATACTTCAAACTTCCCGGGCTATCCAGGATTTGAGCGGCAATCAAAGGTGTGTGATATATTATAAAATTTAGGCAGTTCTGAGGATGAAGGTGCATATACAAAAAAAGCACAAGTCCAAAAAACTAGAATTGGACCACCTTTCACAGCAAAACGAACAAGCTCACGTGAACAGGCCCACATCCAGTTAGACTTGGCTGGGACTTACCGTCGTGCAGAGTTTGGGGCGGCCCTGGGCTCGACTCCTGTGAGAGACTCAGGATTTTTCTTAGCGTCATGTTGGTGATATCACATGATATCATCATATTCAGGGACCTCACGAATCTACAGTGGAGACATCAACAGCAACGGGAACGGTGTTTACGTGAGAAAAACAACACTTTACGCTCTCCCACATTTTTGTAAATCTTTTTTCCATCCTTGCTCAACTACGACGTGAACCAAATTTTTAGTTTTTACGAGAAGGAAAACCGACGAGGCGATAGATTTTAATCCATCTATCTGAGCTCGGACGCGGTCCCCTCAGATCAGCTACGTCCAGCCTTATTTCCCTACTTTTAAGTAACTGGCGGAGCTGCCTGTAATAGCGGAAAGAAAGTTGAAGGACCCGATCGATTGCAGTTTTTCAGTGACGGCGTCGCCGTGGTGCTACCGTAAGGTCTTTATGTTTAGGGTTAGGGTACCGAATTTACTTAATTAAACGCCTCAGATGGAACTGAGCAAAATTACCCATTACTATGGTAATCTACACCATCTAGGCAACAAGAGTTATCATTATTGTTGTCAGCGATTTAAAAATGTGATTTTGAAATAACCACAGCCCTTGAACAAACGCCACCCTTAAAAAACGGCGCATAGGACTCGCTAAAAAAATTAATAAACCTCGCGGTGTTTAATCGAATAAATACGGTAGCTGTGAACGAATCATTTATTAAAGGAAAGGGGGCGGAGGACCTCATCCTGTCCCCACCACGCCCTACCGGCTTTGCTGAGTAAATTAATCTAGAATATATTTAAATCAACTTTGGTTTTCACTTTCATGAAATTGTAGCGTGCTCACGGCTGAGACTATGTAAAGTAAATTATACGCACTCTGATAAAGTAAGGTTCTTCGGGAGTCAGAAGTCGAGTTTTGATGTCATGTCGCTCCGATAATGCAATTCGTCCAGTTAAAGTTCAGGATATCAAATGTCATTGGCTCATTCTAGCTAGCTATAACGGATTGATATCCAGATCACCTACACAATAAGTTACGTACCTGTAAAAACTACCTAGTAAACCTTAAACGAAACTGAAAAATTAAATATGGTGAACATTATTTGTTTTTGTTTGTAAATTGCTTAATTTGTGCGCATGATCATTCAGGCATGCTGTCCCTCAGGCGAAAGTCAGTTTTGTTATAGAGGATTCCAAGATTCAGGGACAACCATTCATGGTGGTTAAATTATAAGGTAAGAGGATGCCGAATTTTTTTACGAAGTCAATAAAAGTTCTCAATTACAGTAGCGAACCGGCAGTTCACATTTGACGTTCAGATGCCATAAGATGAAGTTGTTAAATTTGCATGCTAAACAGACAAACCTTTGAACGACGATAATTAAATCAAGTAAATATATATTTTTAGTTTCAGATCTGCAAAATTGTTAAGAAAACAGGCAACTTCTGTGTGGCTTGAATTCAAAAGAAAAACTTAGATACTGCCTGCCTTTAACTGGCGCTGACTTCAAACTTGTCAAATCTCGATCACTCTCGGCGATCTTGGCCACGTTTGTCGAACTTTCCCGTCAATTTGCAATATTGAGTTCTCGGCGTCTCTTTGGTCTATGAACAAGGTAACTGTGATTTTCTCTCTTCCACATATATGTAAGATAGTTGTAGAGCGATAGCTATCATCTCTGGTACTTTAATGTTCATGTATTATTCGTTCCATACAGATAGGAACTGACAGCCTAACAGCGGAGCTCCACGCATGGTTGACGTGCTTGTTATTGTTGCTATAGTCCTGTCAGGGGTGGGGTGCTTATCCAATCTTTTCCTCTGGATTTCTATGTTTCATCTTTTTGCAAAGATAAAGCGAATGGAACAGATCATCGATGATGTTACTAACGTTAAAATCGATGAGTCCACATTCTTGTCTTTGCCTCCGATACCACGGGCGGGAGAAACGATCACAATGTTACGTCGTCCACAGTCTGTGTTGTTAGAACAAGTTGTTAACTCTGAAGGAATGCCAACTCAACAAACTGATTCAGGAGAGGTTACTAATACGGGAAGTGATGTCGTAGACAAAATCAACGAAGGATTTGACAACAATGGTGCATAAACCCACTGAAAATATAGATGTATAATACAATCAAACTCATACAAAATACAAAATAATGATAAAAAATGACTTCTTATACCGGCATAACGCTGCTAACGAATAAGAACTACAAAGCCGAATTAGGATATGTCACTTTGTCTTAAAGTATTACTTATGCACTTTAAAGGGTGCACTGCATTAGGGAGGCCCCCTGTTCGAGCCTGATCGCTTGCTGGGTTTGTCATAAGGTCAACTCCTCCGCCACGCTTGTAAATTAGCCACTGCCTGGTTCCCTACTGCCAATCCAGAATGCGGGATTTTTTAACCCTTTTGTTTCATAGAAATCGTTCGTTTAAGTCATTTTCTTAGCCTCACTAGCATTCGTACTAATGCTGCCTAAAGGAAATAAAAGGTATGATTATAACTATGATTATATTTATCATTACTTTTTGTTTTAATGGACAATTAAGCGTTTACACATGACGTCACGGCCGCCACTGATTGGTGTTCTAAAACAATACAACGGCATCCATGTTAGTGTTCCAAACCAATCCTGTGGGTGTTGAACTCTTTTCGTATGTAAACACTTTCTTTGGTTCCAATAAATTTCCATACATGCTGGCCACGTGAGTGGAAACGCTATATTGCTCTCGACCAATCATGAGCACGCGCGAATTTCTACGCTTATTGCACAGTTTTTCTATAACTGAGCGATTTGTCGCGCACTGATTGGCCGAGGGCTATAGCTGATGATAAAACAGAGTAACAGACCATGGAAATGACTTTATGGTGGCGCAATTTGTTGTTTTCGTTTTCTCTTTCGCGCAATTTTCCGAGAATATTTCAAAGGAAATATACGTAAAAACTGTAACTGTTATTATAAAAAACCAATTGACAACAATTCTCCTGGTCTTCTGTCATTGACGTTAGAAATGACATCAAAATGTTAAAAAAATATGCAGTAAAACCGCTCGCCTGCGGCTCCTGGTTCCTCTAGAGTTTGGACAGCTTTTGACGTCATTTCGATATGATTTGCTTAATTTAAATTACAGACCAAAAATGATAAATCCTGGGAAAAATTCAGTGAGCTACAGCAAAACCAGGAACACCACACTGAATGTATTATTCAGTCCCTTTCAGAAGGGTATGGAGGGTTATATGCTTCTGGTCCCGTTATCATAGACGATCGAGTGCTCACTGTTTACACTCGAGCTTCAGCCACTAACTTAAAAAGTTTGGCATTGCTCTGATCCAATAAAACGCAGGAAAGTACTGCTTACTAGTAGCATTCATTTCAGTGGTCACACTTCTGGATTTTATCTACAGACTTAAAGGTTAGAGAATCTACCCTGTATGCCACTATAAAAGAGAAGCACAGGAAATGACTGCTTTAGCTCAGTAGCGTTATTTCGTCACGTGAGTCGGTTGAAGGAAGTAAAGTCGACTCCCGATAACTCGAACCCCCGCTAACTCGAACCTCGCGCTAACTCGAACCAAAATCGATTTCCCCTGGATTTCTGTCATACATTCACTGTAATTTTACCCTCGTTAACCGAAACCCTCGATAACTCGAACTCCCGCTAACTCGAACCAATTTTCGTTTCCCCTCAGGTCATTTTCTATATAATTTTACCCTTGATAGCTCGAACCATGTTTTGCGCCCTTAAAAAGTAGGGAAAAAAGCCGTCTACGGGCGTCCGAAACATTGAACTTTGGATTTCCTGTTAACGTGTTGTATAGGACATAGTTTACTAGTGGAGGCTGATGTTGATTGTCACAGGCTAACGTGAAGCAGCTTTTCTTCTCAAA